ACAGGAGCATGCAAGAAGTAAAGTGACAAAGAGAAGGAACACAACAGCCCCAGCTGTCAGGCCTACGGACAGTGTACAGCACCAGAAAGGTCACTAACGTTGTAAATCCACGGCAGCATTTCCAGATAATCTTGCCCTACTGAAGCTCTTGCACAAAAACTGCCTTCAGGGCTAGCAGATCCTTCGACAGACTCCCAGATCATGCTGGGACTCATTTGCTGCCAGATACCTTCTCCTTCCCTCCCTCCCCACTCCATCCAACATAGAGAGTGTCTGGAAAAAAACAGATCTCAAGCCACACTTTCTGTGCAATAAGTGTAAGGAATGTTTTGACCCCAACATATACTTGAGGTGTGTTCATCTGACACGTGAATGTCTCCTGCAGTACACACCCAAGTGTCTCGTGTACCATCAGGCCACATTCCTGGGGAAGGGAGGATTAGCTGTGGATGGATGATGGGTATGGCCCTTCTCTATGACTGGGAGGAGGCAACTGTTGTGAGAAGATCCAGGGAACACAGAGGCTTGGAGCAGTTTACGCAGCACCAAGAGCTTTTGATCCCGGGACACATATAGAAGACCTCAAATTATGTATGAATTGTTTGGTTTTGTTTTAGCCCTGTTGCAAATGTAACAAAACCAGTGCAACATCAGCCATCTGTACTCCAGAAAAGCATCTGTGGTATCAGAAAGGTTGGCTGCCCAGGGCTCCAGCAGTAACGTGACTGGAAAGTGGGGCTCAAGGGGAAGGGGGAGCTGGCATGCCAGTCTGTACAACACATGCTCAGGTTAAGGTCAATAACCCCTCATTTCCATGAGCAAAAAGTTTACTTAAAACTTTTAAGTCATCTTATTAAAACAGAAAAAAATAAAAAAAACCCCAAACCTATTGTGTGGCTGAGTAGTCAGCAGCTATAATTCTGTATTCCAAGGTAATTAAAACATTAAAATCCTTTACCCTGTTTACCACAACCCACACTTAACATTTTGACTTAAAATGCTGAAAGCTGAATTTCAGCAACTCCCTTATAAAATATGGAGCAATTCTGTCAAATTCCCTTCCACGCTCTTCATCTGATGGCAAAGTAACAGAGGTACCATAATGCACTTGATATCATTCTTCTCCTACTAACATTTTATTCAGACTGAGCTTCATTAATAAAGATGAAACTTTGGACTCATGATTGCTCCATGTTTACAAAACATTCAGGCTCCTTTACATCTTGGTTAAGCATGAACAATCACTAAACACACAATTTCCTAAAAAAAATCCCGCATACCAAAATTGCATATTTTGAATTTTTAAAATTCACTACATAAAATTTCACAGAGTGAACCCTAAAGTCTGTTTGCCAAGAAAGCACAAGCCAAAAATGGAAGTTGGGACCCTCCACAAAAAAACCCCAAAGCTGGACCCCAACAAACACATCCTTCCCATTAAACAAGCAAATAAATACACATCCATATCGAGTAATTTGCTCTAAAAATGCAGGTGCTTGAGTAAGTAGCCACAAGTTTTGGTTGCTCAAACAGTACTGGAGTCACAGTAAGTTTCTTTTTCTTCTTTTTTTTTTTTGGTGGAACTCGGCAGTGATTTCTTACTGGACATCAGAGAACAAAGACTAGCCCAGAACCTCACGATTTTAACAAAAGTCCAAATGTGTTTCTCCACAGAGATACAATATAAAGACAAGGCTATTTAAAAAAAAAACAAAAACAAAAACAAAAAACAAAACAAACAACAAACCTAAATTAAAAAAAAGTTAGAGGTGTAAATAGCAGTATCACTTTTTAACGCCAGGTACTGGACCAAGGAATGGGACAGGCTGCACTGCATTTTTAAAGTAGTATGACTATCGACATACTTGAGAAACATTTTAACACTGTACATTACAACAAATTCTTTATTTCACTTCTACATAAGTCAGCAAAAAAGCTAGGTGATCCAACATGATATGGCAGCTGCAAATTTAAAATGATAGTCACAGTCTAAAGCCAGAACAAAAACATCTCCAGAACTCCTATTTATAAAAAGGAATGAACGTACACGCTGCGCGCGCATGTATGCACGCACGGACGCAGACAAAAATCTTGAGGTTTTACTTATTGCTCTTACACAAGGCTGTGAGCAGGCAAATGTCTGGATCAGAAATTAGGTCAAACATGCATTTCAGCAGGCATGGAAAGTACAGGAAATTCATATTAATGAAACAATGTACTGCGTTACGTAATACAGGATGGTATTCTGCTAATATAATACTTACGTCATTAATACCGGATAAACTCCAGGTCTGCCTGTTGCATAATAAGTTATGTAGTGTAGTATTTTAACCTAATTTCTGATTTCTCTTTCATACTGTACCCTCCACGTAGGGACAAAGAGGGGCAGTTTTCAAGACAGCCGCTCTCTGCAACACCAGAGGAACCTCAGCATCAAGAGCTTCAGTCGGGCAGGTACGACCAGAAGGAGGTTAACATTACCAGCATTGCATCGCCGGGACCTGCTCTTTCACTGCCTCGCATTTTCGTGCGGTCACTGACAACTCGGATAAGCAAATGCAGAAGTTGGTGCAAAACACCATCAGTGCTGTTCTCAGAGCATCCTCCAGCTTTGCTATCTGCTCTTGGTACACCCATCAGTTGCTACAGGGAATAAGGCAGTAGAGGGTCGAGTCCTGTACCTGGTCACTTCCTCAAGAGTCTTACAAAGGCAAGAATTTTTTGTGAACTGGCTTTCCTCTAGAGAATAAGCATAGCGTGGATGTCAGTAGAAATCTGGCTACCTACTGGCAACAAGAGACTAGCACGTTCACAAGACACATTTTGGAATTCCTGCTCTTCCCTGCTGCAACCAAAATTAAACATGCTGCGGAGAGGTGTCCATGTAATTACAATACTCACAGGCCAGGTTCAAGGCAAACCGCACATGGGCCTTGCACAAAAAAGGCATTGAATGTGGTATCTGAGGATTTTTTCTTTTTTTTTTTTTTTGCTGTGCTATGCATACATATGACAGTAGATAAAAATCAGCACAATGGTTCCTCTCCATAGCTGACCCAACACACACCATAACAATTAAGCACCATATATGCTATTCTTCAGTTAACAGGAATCAAGAAAGAAAATGGTGGCTTGAGAAGAGGGAGGGGAAGAAATCCAGCACAAAGTTAGAGGTATGTTCCTGACAGAAGTCCTAGCTGAGAACATTTATTGTGAATCGGCAATTGGATTTTGTGACGTAACCAGAAAATCGCCGACGTCTACAGGGCCAGCTTGGGCACTGCATAGTCAAAATTATGTTCTCTGGCATTATGGTAGAGCATTGAGCAATATCTAACCAATTATTAGAAAGAGCAGTACGCAGATGACAAGAGGTCACGCTTCAGGGAGGTTACGCTTTGTACTTGCAAAAAAGATCCAGTGCAAATCAATAGCTTTTTCTCTCTTATTAAAGGTCTGTCATGTGCCCCTTGATCCGATCCCTAAATCTCACAGAAATTTCAGCTTTCAGACTTGCCAAACACCCAAATTCACACTGAGCTCTATCCTACTTATGAGCAGTACTACTAAAGCTAGTGGGGCTGCTTAGAGCAAGGCGCTACTGCAGTAAAGGCTCAGGAATTTGGCTCTTTACAAAAAGTGAACTGCAAATGATGGGTTTCGTGACACTCACAGGTGGGGAGAGACATTTCCTGTGGTTTCTTTTCAATCTGTCCTACAAACACGATTTATAAGACTGAAACATGGGAAATGGCTCCGTTATGCTCACCCAGACATTGTGACGCCAGGACAGACAGTGGTTTAGCAGGAGTAGCCCACCCAGTAAAGGGTTAGGTTGGCTTGGGTTCTCCTCCCAGCTACATCACTGCCTCTGACTTAGAAGGACTGTGCATAAGGGTCCTTGCTCTCAGTTGGGATGGTGAGGCTTCCTTAGAGCAATTCCTGTGTTACACCATCCACGGATGCACAGTTGCATCTCCTAGGAAAGAGGGGGGCAAAATAGGTCTAAATTCTGTAAAAACAAGAGAAACCAACATCTAGAAAAAGAAAATGAACAATTTTCCATCATATACTTGCAACAAGGAGTCCTAGGACTTCTCATGACCCATTTCTTCACTAATGGCTATGAAGGCCAGGTTGTTGTGAAGCCCTGCTGCCAGATTGGAGGTAAAACAGCGTGTGCAGTGTTTACTGTTCAAAGCCATCCTTTGCATGAAGCCAGTTAGGCAGAAGTGCTTTGGCTGCATTTTTAAGGTATTCCTCCTAGCCCACTTTGCTTCCCTGCTCAGAAGCTCCTTCAAATAATAGATGCAGGAAGGGCCACTTCCCTGTAGCTGAAAAAAATGGGGAAAAAAAACCAAAAAACACACACCACAGAACAAAACAATTGTTTGTAAAACGCTTCCTTTTAAAAACTATTGTACAACTTCCTAACTTGGTTTAATTAATGTGCAGTTTAAAACATATAAAACGCCTTACCAGCTAAATGATTTCTTGGTTTTGCAAGTCTCCCTCCCTCCCCCCATTAAAAAATAATGCATGTGTGGACTGGTCTTGAACACCTCATACAGACTCATATGCCAATTCTCCTTTAATTCTACATGGAGCAGTTGTGATTTTAGTCTACTGTGTTTAGAGAAGAGCTCATACCATATACTTCATAGTATAACCAGCTACATAGATGTCTTTAAATCTCATAACACAATAAAGAATCACTGTAAGTCGCAGTCCCTTTGATAAACGATTATGGTGACGCATGCAGTCCTCCTCAGTGCTGCTGCTGCTGCCAAACATGGGACATTATTTTCTCCGCACGCTGCTGAGAGGCCCGACACCGCAGAGCTGGGGGCTGTGGCCAGGCAGGCGTACCGCTGCCCACCGCGGTGCATAGCGTTCTGCAGTCTTTGGGCAAAGCTGCGGTGAATTGTCTCACTCAATACCACCACCACCACCACCACCAACCCAACCCAACCCCTGGGGGAGCACACCCCCTCCTCGCCTCAGCCACAGGAGATCACCGTGAAGCGCTTGGAAATGCACGACATGTTGTGGAGGACGATGCCCAGAAGAAAGACCAGAACGCAGGCCACCAGGATGACAGTGCAAACCCCTGACCAGGTGGAGCTTTTCACAACACCTCTCCGGTCTGGCTCCTCTGCTCCCGCCTCGGCAGGGAGGCTACCCTGCAGCGGCTGGCGCTCCCCCCGGGGCCGCCCCCCCGCCCCG